AACTTTATTTGTATTTGTGATAGAAATGATTTGTAAAAAGGATTAGAAAGAAGTAAATCTATATTTTTAAACTTTTATTGAAATTTTATTTAAGTTTTCACATGTCCTCCATCATTAGCAATACAAAGGGTAATACGATATTGCAGTTCATGGAAAACATTTGCCAACTGATTTACAGTAATGCCTGAAATCACATTAGTTATTTTAGCTATACTTAAAAGTAGGTACATTAAACTTTATAACATTTTTTACAGATTATTTCTATCGCAAATACAAATAAATTTATAATTTTTTAAAATGCACACGAACTTTATGGACACCCTGTATTTTTTCTTTGCAAATTTGTAAAAAGACACTATGCATAAAACAAAAGGAAAACTTTTTGGTAACCTAGACCTTCGTGCTCGCCAAAACACGAATAGTCATAAGGACGGTTTTTCCATTGACACCGCTATTATTTCACTACTTCGTAATATTTATTGTTTTAAAACGCTATCATTGAACAATTTTGCTTTTTCTGTTTTTTTTTAGAGTAAGGCGTCTTTTGGTTAGCATGAATATCCAAATTTGCCAACTTTTCTTTACCGACGCGTTTCGTTTTCTGATGGACAAGGTAAACTTTATTACATGTTGCAAAATAAAATCCTTCCATTTGCCTTGATAAAGTCCATAAGGGGGCGAAACGCGTCGGTAAAGAAAATTTTTCCTTTTGTCTTTATTCATAAATATGAAATCAGTGAAAACAGTTGTTTGGTAAAATTTGACTTGCCACTTGCGAATGAAAGAAAACATTTGGCATCACAGTACAAACGGAGGACTAAAAATATTTGTATGGTAAACTTTAAAAAGGGTCTGAATACTTTTTTGCTATCGTTACTGATCGAGGTTCTTAAAACAACCAAAATTTTATTTGTCCGTGTCGCCGACCGCCTATGATGTCCCCTTGTTTGGCTTACAAAATCGGAGGAAGAAAAAGGAATCGATTTAAAAATTTTGTCCAGGAATTTTTAATTATTTGTTTTTTTTGTGGGGAGCGAGAGGTGTGGATACATTTAGGCAGAAGGAGGATTTTTATCAAGTTTTGTAGGTGCCATGGAATTCGTTGGCTCATCTTGCAGCTAATCTTTTTGCTACGTTTTTTTCGTCGGATGGATGGTTTTTTTACTCTACATTGAACTGTTTAATGTATCTTTCTCAGTAATTGCTACTTTTGTATTAAAATACGCCACCTGTTTGAATTTAACGTAATCTGAACATCGGCTGTATCTGACATAATTTGCAAATGATCGAGTCGTTAAAGCGTTATCCTTCCGACTATGAGGTCCAATTCTCCCTATGGTCGATTAATGAAGAGGGTAATTTCTTAATAATATAAGCCTGGGGATATATAATCCCTTCGTGTGGCAACGTTGGGAAATGCCTGGTAAAGCATACTCACTTTGTGAGTGAAATTGAGTAGATATACGACACACGACAACCTTGAATATAACGTAGAGATTTTAATATCGATATATAGGCACTGTATCAAAACTCAAAGACAAAGGGGAGAAAATCCTGGCGAAGCAAGGGGGATAATTGGGAGAAGATAAGGGGGGATAACTGAATGGCCTCGCAGGCTTAAAGATAATAATATTGTCGTGATATCCACACCAATCTCAACATCTTGTGATTCCTTTCCTGAAACGGCCTCATCGAGGAAGCTAAGGAAATAAAAGTAGCCAGGAATTACACACGGCTTAGGATCTTGGACAAGCCAATCTCATCTCATTTGGGAGTACAAATATTTCTTTTTAATCCGTCATCAAGAGGGCTTAATCCATTATATAAAAAAGGAATTCCAGATTATGAAGTAAACTTTTTTCTCTTTTACATTTTAATAAATCACGTCGTATGAGCACATTTATTTGGCTTCCATCGAAGGATCAATTTACAACACGTACCTTCAAAGGTTCATTAAAAAGAGGAGATACTTGATGGGAAAATGCCGAAAATTGAATAAAAATAAAATCTTTGGATTATTAAGAAGTCAAAATAAAGGATTTTTTATATCATTTTTTTCCTTATTCTTTTTATAAAAGTTGGAAATTTTACTTACAAATTTTATTTTTTAGGGTGTGATATTGGGGCCTTAAATTTGTATAAATATCTAAGCGCATTTTTACGCACAAAAAACTCATTGAATTGGAAATCAAGTGAAGAATTTGCCATGTTATCGTTCCTGACCTGTCAGCTCGACTTCAGTCACTTTCCTCAACGCCATAATGCAGATTCCCTGTGTCTTTTCTAAAGATATGTAGTGATAACAACAGATAAATTCCTTATTACTCGACTATGTAGTAGTCTGGAACCAAAATAATTAATGATTAATAAACACAAAGTATATAATTCATAATAAATAATATGATAATAATTAGTAATAAAAGAAAAATTAAACATTAAGCAATAAATATACTTTAAAAGTACAGATAAGAATGATAAATAAAGTAATAAAAAGTTAGATTATTAAAAAAAAATAGTTAAATAAATGTAGAATACTTCCATGATGCACCAGAACAACGTTTTACCGCCAAGTGAAACAAAAATCAAAATTTTCTCTCTCTTCAAATAACCGAGCACCGAAGGAGGCAGATATCCTGGATGATTCTCTGATAAAACATGTCACCACTAACAGATGAGGAAAATATCTTTATTTCTGTACACACATATGTTCTTTAAATTATGCAATCTTTTCTCTAACAAGTATACTAAAGCATCTTATTGTTTTTGTCTCTAATTATTTAATTGTATATCGTATCTGGTTTTGTTTGTGATATTATAATTTCGCTGTGGGCTAATTATGTCCTTTTTATGTTGCCCAGCACACACACACACACACACACACACACACACACACACATATATATATATATATATATATATATATATATATATATATATATATATATATATAATTCCAACGTATCACTAGAACAACCCACGACAAATACTTCCCTGGCAATTGTTCTGATGAACTTTCTTATATGGTACTTAGACTTTATGAATTTAAACGAAGTACTAGATTGGCGGTCAGGTCTCATCATTTTACAGTTGAATTGGGTAGATGTAACCGGAAGTTTTATCCTAATAGTTTTTCTCCCTCACTTATGGAACTCTCTTCCGGTTCCTTGATTTCCACTAAAATTTGATCTTCAAAAATTTCAATGCAATGTCAATCGTCTTAATTATTGTTCTTTCATTGTCCTTAATAATAGATTTTTCTCATAGTCTCTAACACTCAGTAATCCCTTGCATCTTAGTGGCTTTATTGCCTTGCTTTCCAGTCAAGTTAAATGTTCAAATATTTAAATGCAATGTCAGTCGTTATCTACTGTACTTTTGTTGTTCTCGCTCCTTAATAACGCCTTTCTTTTTTTCTCATATTCTTTCATATTCAGTAACTCTATACTGTTAAATAATAGTCTAGCAGACGATTATTTTTTATAGAATTGTATTCTCCTCTGACTTCTTTATTTTGACCTTTGAGATCCGATACAGGAAAAGAGAAGAAGGTATTTTTGATTGGTTAAACTAGCGTGGGAATGTTAGAGAAATAGAAAGTGATTTCAAGGAGCTAAGTTTTACATCTAATACACAGTAGACGTGGTTATTTCGTGTCTGGGGGAACTTTATCCCCAGTCGGGGTGATAGAGCAATCACACTGGCTAGTTTAAAATGTACATGTCGACGTGTTTAATAAAATAGATAAGTTTCTAAATCCTTTTTGTTGAAGTTTCTTTCATCACTGGACTCCAAAAACATTTCGACACCCGGCCGAGAGAAGACAAGTGAGAAAAGATACAACGTTATGCAATCGACCCCGTCGACCAAGAGAGACCCCACACACACACACACACACACAATCTGCGTTTTATAATAAGTAAGATGATTTATGGTCTGAATTTCTGAGTCAGAGCAGGGTTGCATGATTGTATTTATTTAGCCTTTGAACATATTGATAAGTGAGGACATATCCTGCTCTCATTTGCTATCTCTCTCTTTCTCTCCGTTCTCAATTTCAATTTAGACGCTTAAGCAAATATAGACTGCATGCAATTGTTAATCAAGGAAAGAAAAGAGAAAGAAAGTGAGAGAGAAAGATGGACAGATATACAGACACAGGGCTAGGTAGGTGTGTCTATATTTTGCTTTGGTTGGGGTGGAAACATTTTATCTGCTCCTCTGATTACGATTTTGTATACCTGTCTTTTGCAGGTTTTCTGATCTGTCCCTCTTATCTTGCTTTATCGAATCGAGAAGAAAAATGTTGTTTATTTAACCAATGAAATGTACTTTGTCCAATGTCCATGGCAGTCATGGTTAGGTGGAGAGGGGCACTGCACTCACAAGTGTATTATCTGGTTTGACTGCATTTGAAATGAGGACAATGTCGAAAATTTTCTTATCACTTTCTGCATGACTTCTTCTTCACTGTCAACACAAACATGATATTTACGACGGAGAAAATTGTTGATAATGGCATGTATTAGAAATCACGTAGGAAAAGGTAGAGTCAGGAGTTAACGCCAAAAATACTGGCTTATTTTGTCATTGCTGGAGATAACAGATGAACAAAAGCCAATTGTCTATCTATCTATCTATCTATCTATCTATCTATGTAAGCCCTTTCAAATCTATCTATCTATATATCTCAGTCGTTTTCATATCTATGTCAGTCGTTTTCACATCTATCTATCTATCTATCTATCTATCTATCTATCTATCTATCTATCTATCTATCTATCTAAGCCCTTTCAAATCTATCTATCTATATATCTCAGTCGTTTTCACATCTATCTATCTATCTATCTATCTATCTATCTATCTATCTATCTAAGCCCTTTCAAATCTATCTATCTATCTATCTATCTATCTATTTATCTATCTATCTATCTATCTATCTATCTATCTATCTAAGCCCTTTCAAATCTATCTATCTATATATCTCAGTCGTTTTCATATCTATGTTAGTCGTTTTCACATCTATCTATCTATCTAAGCCCTTTCAAATCTATCTATCTATATATCTCAGTCGTGTTCATATCTATCTATGTTAGTCGTTTTCACATCTATCTATCTATCTATCTATCTATCTATCTAAGCCCTTTCAAATTTATCTATCTATCTATATATCTGTCATTTTCACATTTTCTATCTATCTATCTATATATATATCTATCTATCTAAGCCTTTCAAATCTATCTCTCTATATATCTCAGTCTTTTCCATATCTATCTATCTATCTATCTATCTATCTATCTATCTATCTTCACATTTTCCGGAATTTCACCAACGAGACTAGTTTCATTTTGTCTTTGTTTCAAAGTCAAGAAATTCAAAAGACTTTTTAGAGTTTTTGCGATTCAATCAAAATTATGCTAACGTCATTAAATCAAAATAAATTTTCTCATTAATATAGATATTTTTGTTTCCTTCTAATTACCGAATGTTAAAGTCATCTTGTATTAAACCCGAAAATAATTTCAATTTTAGATTTTTTAACATTAATTACTTGTTAATCTTTATAAAAACTAATCGGAAATAAACGTGCGAATTACATTTGTATCCGTTTATAATAAAAAAAAAAGTATTAGTCAGTGGTAAAAAAGAATTAAAAATAATAATTAAACGTTTTATATTTTAAAATAACCATTTCTATTTGTGCAAATAAAAATTACTTTTTGATATTTTACACAAAAAATTAGTTTAATTATTATTTTGCATTATTTTAATAAACTTATCTGGTTAATTTGCAGATTAGGATTCGCGCTCAAATTTTCATTAAAAATTTCCCGAATACTTAGATTTCGATGTAAATGTAAACGCTTCATGCGAAAATGACTTGATAAATTTCATAAATTTTACCGTTTTGGAGTTCTCGACAGTAAGAGTTTGGATTTATTCACGTCGTTGGCGGAAGACATTACTGGCGTTGTTTCTATACATTTGCTGTGGAAAACTAAGCACAGAAGAACACAGTTAGCGGCCATATTTACTGATCTTACTCGTCTCAACTTGTCTCAATTACTGCACAAGAGATCTATATTGTGTGCGCAAGAATCAAGACAAGTGAATAATCCACTCATAGCTGTTCCGCAGCAAATGCATGCAGACAACGCCAGTAATGGCTGCCGCGATGCGAATAAATTTGAAATTTACTGTCGATAATACCAAAACGGTAGATTTTATCAAATTTATCAAGTCATTTTGAATGAAGCTTGTACATTTACACTTAAATGTAAGTATTCGGGAAATTTTATAATAGTGTATTTATTTTATGCTACTAACTGAAAAAATGTCTTACTTTATTCTACTTTTTTTATTTTATACTAATAACAAATAAAAACATATATACGTTTGACATTTTTGACATTTTGACAATTATTTGTTACATGTTATCTCTCTCTTGCTTCTCTCCACCCTTTTCTCTTGTCTCTAACACGTAAAGAAACTTTTCTGTCTCGTGGCGTGATTATTTTCGTCCAATGAAATGTCCTGTATTCCGGTGACGTCATCTGTGCGTCCAACGCCCTTCGCAGTTTGGTTTAGAAAATTCGGCAGTGAAGACGTGTTTTGTTTCCGTCTCGCGTTTTTTTTCACGCAAGTGAAATCAAAATCAAATGTAAGTAAGAATTTTATCTTTCCAAATCATCCAACCTTTTTAAAGGTTTCCATGAAAAGAGCTAAACTCTTTCTTCTTCTTTTTAATCATTTCACCTCAATGAAGGCAAGAAAGCCACTATGACGCAAGGGGTTTCTAAGTATGAAAAAAGAAAACATATTTGGCTCTCTTCATTTCTATTTACTGGTATCATATCTAACAATCAGTCTCAATCTGTTCATATATATCTATCTCAGACTTTTCATATCTATCTATCTCAGTCTGTCCATATGTATATCTATCTATCTATCTATCTATCTATCTATCTATCTATCTATCTCAGCCTGTTCATATCTATCTCAGTCTGCTTATATCTATCTATCTATCTATCTATCTATCTATCTATCTATCTATCCCCAGTCTGTTCATATATGTCTCAGTCTCTTCATTGTCTGTCTCAATCTGTTCATATCTATCTATTTATCTATCTCAGTCAGTTCATATCTATCTAGCTATTACCTATCTGTTCAAAGGTATCTATCTATATTCATATCTATCTATCTCAGTCTGTTCATATCTATCTGTTAGTCTAACTCTCCGTTTATTTAAAAGAAAAGAAAAAAATCCCCCCTGTCTCTGTCATGAACGTAAATATTTTTGTCAAAATAAAACAATTCATCGGTCTAGCTATCTGTCGGTTTATTTATCTGTTTATTTAAAAGAAAAGGGAAAAATCTCTCTTTTCAAACAATTAATTTATATTGGTTTATTTGTCTATCTATCTCTCCATTTCTTTTTACTGATCTCTCTACAAAATAACAGGAGGATTCAAAATCAATTTTATCATCTCTTGACCATATTTTTCTTTTTCAATTTTGACTCGTTATCTTTTCTTTAACTTCTTGATTTGTTATTGAATAATGAAGAAGATAAGTTATTTGCCCCCCGAGTTCTTATCTGCTTCCTTAATGTTTTTTGTAGGATTAAAACTAAAAAGGAAGACGAGACACTCCCTAAGTATAGTTTTCCGCTTGTTAAAAAGAAAAAATAAGAAAAACCTTTTATAAAATCTGTTCATTAAAGTCGTAATATATCGGTTAGCTCTTTCATTAACGAAAATCTTGGTCTGTCTGTCTATCTATCTATCTATCTATCTATCTATCTATCTATCTATCTATCTGTCTGTCTGTCGGTATAGTTAAAAGAAAAAGAAAACCTTCCCTTCTCACTTTCATGAACGAAAATCTTTTTGTCAAAATAAAACAATTTATCAGTCTGTCTTTTTATTAAAAGAAATGGGGAAAAAATCCCCCTTCTCTCTCTTTCATATAATTCTTCTCTCTTATTGCTCTTTCCTCACTTCCCTACTTTTCCTCCCTTGTTATCTCATGAAACCTCTCTCTCTCTCTCTCTCTGGTCGGTCTATATTTAAAAGAAAAAATGTCCCTCTCTCTCTCTCTCTCTCTCTCTCTCTCTCTCTCTCTCTCTCTCTCTCTTTCATACAACTCTTTCTTTTCTCTCTTATTCGTCATTCCAATCCTACCCTTCACTTTCTCCTTTCCTACTTTGCCTTCCTTGTTATCTCATAACTCTCTTCAGCCCGAGCAGGGTGTGGTTATTCTCGTCCAATGAAATGCCTTCCGCTCCTATGACGTCACAGCCCCACAACACAAGTCAGAATTTTCCCATCGATTACCAAATAATCGAACTTTCCGAAATGGTTTCATGAAAACAACGAGAAATTCTGTTTTTTTTTTTTTTTTTTTATTTTTATTTTCTCTTCATACTGAAAGAAAAAACATTCTATTATTACCTAATTCTTACCTCCGCCACCCCGTTCTCTCTTTCTCTCTCTTATGTTGGCCTATCTGTCTTTCTATTTATTTAAAAGATAAAGAAAAAAATATCCCCCCTCTCTCTTTTATACAACCTTTCCTTCTCTCTTTTATTCCTCATTCCCCCCTTCACTACTTTCCCTTCTTTATTGTCTCATGAAGCCTATCTATCTATCTATCTATCTATCTATCTATCTATCTTCTATCTTACTGATTGGAAATATGAAATTTAATCTTTTTGCTTGGAATTAAATCTAAAATAAATGCTTCAAGAAAGATTCTTCATTTTTAAAAGTTCATTTCAAACCTTAGCAAAATTTTGAGGTAAAAGTTCAATAAATGTGTCAAAAAATGAGTGATCGATTTTGCACTGTGTCGATTTGATTATAAACGAAGCGGAAAAAGTCAATCATTTTCTATGAGTGGACCACTTTATTTAAGTAGTGCTTAATTTTCTCGCTTCTATTTGCCTTGTGCCATAGTAGGCTATGATTAGTGAAGAAGATAAAAACAAACTTAGCAAGTGGTAATAAAAATGTCTTTGGCTTTTTCATAAAAAGTTAAAAAATAATCGGAAGAAATATTAACATTTTAAAATATTACAATTGATGAAAAGAGAATGTTAAATGTGACTGTGAAGGAGGCAAATTGGATCTCTCTCTCTCTCTCTCTCTCTCTCTCTCTCTCTCTCTCTCTCTCTCTCTCTCTGTTTCTTTTAGCTTTTCTTTCTTTCCCTTTCTCGCATTGCTCTTCTCTCCCTCCCTTTCTTCATTGATAACCACTCTCTCCGTTCCCCACTCTCAATATTTCATTCACCCCCACCTCTTCTCCTCTCCTTCATTTATTTGCGATTTTGGAAAAAACATTTTTCTTTCAGAAAATCAATTGTTTTTTTTGTAAAACTCGAAATTTCGGGTCATTTTACTTCCGGTTTTATAAATGGACTTTATTTTTTTCGTTTTTCTGATTTTGAACTTTGACTTTTTTTCTTTTCTTTTCAGATTTATTTTTATCTTCCGAAAACATTTTCCAAATGGCGTCCAATGTGAATGAAGAAGAAACATTCCAATGCTCGAAATGCGACCAATGTTTGGACTGGACATCGAAGACATTGCCATGTCTTCATTCTTTCTGCAGACCGTGTTTGGAGATGATTCTTTGGGAAAACAGCCCGTGCCCCCAATGCCAAGAGCCTGTGACCAGTGACAAGTTAAGACTGGCACCATTTTTGGTGAAGTCTTTGAGACGCCGTCACTTGGAATCCAGTGAATGGAGGTGCGGTTTTTGTTCCGAAGACGGCGTAGAATCAGCGGGTCAGATTTGGTGCAAGGATTGCGAGAAACTCTTGTGCCGGAACTGTAACAGGGTCCACAAGAAAATGAAATGGACGCACAACTGGGAAGACTTGTCCGGCAAGGAGAGGGTGGAGGCCATCCGGGTCATCATGATGGATGACTGTCGACGGCACCAACAATCCAAGGACGCCTTCTGCCAGCGGTGCAACGTGTGCCTGTGCGACGCATGTTACAAGGAACATGTGACCACCTCCCCTCAGTGTCCACCTCGTCCGCTGTCGGTGAGAGAGGAGGCGTCAAAGGAGAAGGAGGAGGGCGGCCCCGCCCTGGAGCAGGAACTCCGCGAGTTCGAAATCCACATCCGGGCGACGAACGAGCAGATGAGGCGATCCATAGACCAACTGTCAATGGATTGCGATTCCGAATGCTCAAAACTCTGTCAGGATTTCGAGACATACGTGGAAGAGGCAAGAGTCAGACTGGGAGAGCTGTGCGACAATATGAGAGAGATGTCGTCCGAACTGGAGAGAAAATGGCGCAGCTCCCTCAAGGAGAGAGACGACCTGTTGAAGAAGGTGAAGATCTGGCGCCACACCGTGCGACATTTGTTAACGGACGATGCCGACGATGAGGACGTCGTTTGCGGATTGCGGTTGGTGAGATCGGAGCTTTCTGCGTGGCACCGCCAATCGTTTGCTACGGCCGAGAAAGGACATTGGGTGGTGACATTTCCCAAATGGTGTCACGACTCCTTAGAGTCACTGAAGAAAGAAATGATCGATTGGATGGTAGAGACATCCGGGCATTTGCAACTGGAAAGTGAATGCCGTCTGCAAGGATCGAACCAGCTGTGGATTTTATCGATTATCGCCAGCGACGAAGACAATCGCGTCTTTGTTGGTGACTGGAACAGCAGTTCGATCCAAGAATTCGGTGACTCTGGGGAACTGGTAGGCCAATGTCACTTAACGGACGGAGGAAAGAAATTCACCCCATTCGACACGTGTCGTCTTTCAAAAGATATTTTGGTTGTCTGTGGTCTGGAGTTTTTGCGGCGAGGCGAAGAAGGAACATATCTTTGGGGGTCGGGAAGACTTTTCTTTTTGGCACGAAAGAAATGTCCGCCATTTTTAGAAATCCAAAAAACAATTGACACAAAAGAGAAGAAATTTTTTTCTTTGTGTCAAATTAACAAAAAAATTTTCGCTTGTGAAATGAATTTTCAGAAAATTGTTTATTTTAATGAAATTGGAGAAGAAATAAAAACAATCCACCCTGGGCGGGCCCCGGAGGAAGGTCTTTATTCTCCACGTCTTCGTGCCGATCCGACGACTGGGAATTTGTGGGGGACAAGATTTGGAAAATCGGAAATCTTTGTTTGGAAACAAAATGGAGAAATTCTTCAAAAGTTGGAAATAAAAGAAAGAATTTTCGATTTTTGTGAAAATAGATTTGGATTATTTTATTTTCCGACTCAAGAAGGAATTTTTTCTCTTTTGCCAGAAAAAAAATTGTATAAATTTCCGAAAAAATCTGAAAATTTTCCAAGGATTTTTGTTTCCCACCAAAAATTGTTTATTTTATTTAAAAACGATGGAATAAATTTTATGAAAATTTTGAAAATTTATTAAAAAAAAAATTTTTTTCTTTCTTGATATTTTTCTTTCGTTTATTATCCCTATTTTCTTTTTTCATGGGGGAAGGGGAGTTGTTAATTTTCTGAAATTTGTCTTTTGTTTGAAGCCATTTCCAGACTGACATTGGTAAGGAACTGGCGAGCATAAAACCAAGGAGAACTGGCGACGGGATTTGTAGAGTATTTGTAAAAGCCGAGAAAGGGTCGATTGTTTGTTTTTTTTTTAAGACAGAAATTCCAAGTAGGTTATTGTTTATTGCAGAAACAGATGGAGGTTGTGGAGAGCCACAACTGCCTACTCTTGAGTCTGGAATAGAAGGGCAGGATGGAATTAAAGGGAGTGGCTCGTCTATTCCGGAAAAGGAAAGAGAGAGAAAAGAAAAATGAACTCGTAATATCATCATCATCTTCATTAATCTGATTAAAAAATGAAGAAAGAAAATGGTGTCGTGGACGCATCATCATCATTAAAGAATTAAAAAGAAATTTCGATTAAATAAAATTACGAATAAAATACTTTCTTTTTCACAGACCCACAAAAATGTCAACTTTCCTTCCTATCACCCCCACCCCCACAAAAAATATGTTCTCCCCTTCTAGCTCCACCCACCCAAAATGTCAGCTGCCATTCCACCCGTCTCCCCAAAACTGTCAGCTTCCCTTTTTCCCTGTCAGAAATAAAATTGTTTTGCTTTTTTCTTTCTTTTCTCTCATTATGCATCCCCACAACGACCCCCGAGAAACCTCAACTCTGAGAAGTCGGAGGTTGGGCGTGTCTTAAAGGAATAAGTCCAAAAAAGAGGTGGAGTAGAGCGGTAAGAATACGAAAAGAAAATAAAGACAAAGTTCAGTACGTGTGTTCATTCCTGACCTGCCGTTCGTCGGACATGTTGAAAATGAGTTGATTTGGGACGAAAGTCCAAGGCGATGCCGAAGCCAAAATGCCGAAACAAAAATTCTTCATAAGACGATCCGACGAACCGGAAACAGTTCCAAAAGACCCGAACGCGAAAAAAAAAGTTAAAACTAAGCAGTCCAAGGGGAATAACTCTTGGTTATTTCTTTCAGTAATTCCTTCTAATATAGACATTTTATTCGGTTGGGGGGAGGGGGTGCTTTTAAACCCTTTACTTCCCCCTCGCCTTTCCATTCAAGTTTATAAATAGACTTACCTAGACCCAGTTAAGAATCCATTATATTTTGTAGTTTCATTTGACTCTCTTTTGAAAAAAAAGACTGTGATCCTTAAAAACGTCGCCTGAAAATGTCTGCCTTTTTACACCTGCCATAAGTGGGTGGAATTCAAAATGAATAGTACGCAGGATTTGGAGAATGAAGAAGAACCGAATGAAGACATTGAAACTAGGAAGATTTTTCTATTTAAGTTCACTGCCTTCATGCCCATCAGACAAAAGGCATGAAACCATCACAACCCCGCCTTCTCCGGATGGAGACATCAGCTGGGGTGGTTTCAAAATAATATGATTCGGGTGGAGAAGGGGGATTTAGAGAATAATGAGAAGTTGGGATTAAAGAAAATTAAAGCAGAAATTAAAGACTGGCGGGTTGAGTTCAGATTTTGGTTGTTTTTGTTCACTTCCTTAATGCCCTTGACACAAAAGACATGAAACCATCACAGCCCTGCTCTCCTAGGCAGGGGAGAGGGCTTCAGTTTGGGTAGTTTCAAATTAATATTATTCGGGTAGGGAGGGAATATTTACAATAATAAGAAGCTGCGATTAAGCTAACAGTGCCGAAATTAATCATAGGCGGATTGAGTTCAGATTTTGGTTGTTTTTGTTCACTTCCTTAATGCTTTTGATACAAAAGGCATGAACTTATAGAGCTTAACCTCTACATGCCAGTGGATCAGAACCAATGACTGAGTACACTACATCCTCATTGGGCAATAAATGTTAAAACATTTCTAATTTATATTTTCATGTTAGTTGTAGATTTTTGTGCAAGCTAAACACAATCCAGGCTCCAGACACAAGTTTTACAATAATTATTTCTGATTGGTCAATATATCTCAAAGTCCTAACAACGCCTACGCACACGTTTTTAAACCCAAAAATCTTGAAATGTGTTCGCGAGCCACACACGTGACTAAGAATGCATATAGATACAATTGTGACGTCGTCCCCCGGTCGCAGCGCCAACTGTGACGTTCTATCCTGCTCTACCACGGCGCCAGTTGTGACGTCCTCAAACAGCACCACTTGTGACGTCTTCGCCGCGGCGCCAGCTGTTCGCTCCTCGCTTCTCCGTCCGGGTGTCGCTGCTCCAAACGTGACGTCCG